ATGATTTACTTCTCTTATGACAAAAAATAAGAAATACAATGAGGAATAAAGAAAATGTCGCAGTGGCACATGCCTGTAATCCCAGCACTTTGGGAGGCTGGGGCGGGCGGATCACTGGAGTTCAGGAGTTCCAGACCAGCCAGGCCAACATGGCAAAACTCTGTCTCTACTAAAAATACAAAAAATTAGCCAGGTGTGTGCCTGTAATCCCACCTATTGGGGAAGCTGAGGCAGGAGAATCACTTGAACCCAGGAGGTGGAGGTTGCAGTAAGCCAGGATCACACCTCTGCACTCTAGCCTGGGCAACAGAGCAAGTCTCCATCTCACCAAAAAAAAAAAAAAAAAAAAAAAAAAAAAAAGGCGGGGAGTGGGGAGGTTTCTGACTTTCCTGGTGGAAGATAGATGTTAATGTCTTTGTAAACTTAAGAGTTGGAAGAATAATATTGCTAAGGATTGAGTGACAATAAAGATGCAGCAGGCAATGAATTAATGTGGCTTTCAGCTCCTTTACTTCAGTTTTCTTAGTATATTCGGCCTGAAGTAGAACATCCTACCATGTAGGATATAATTTTGAACATGGCAAGGAACTTAGTATGTGATATCCATTATCTGTTGTCCTTGTCTTTCCTGCATCTCAGGAAGCCACTTATTCCATTTCCCATTTTTATACAGTGTAGGGCTGAAGCAAGATCCAAACAACACCATGATACAAGAGAGAAACAGAGGGCAGCCTGCTCATATTGGAGGGCACAGAAAGACTGGCGAGACACACAGAAAAAAAAAAAAAGCGGATCTTTATTTCATGTAGCTCTTATGCCCCACACAAGTAATGCTGGCAAATCCTTCCTGATCTTTTCACCACCAGAAAGACAGGCTAGAAAGGCAGAGAGGGGATGGAGGGAGAGCAAGAGAGTTTACATAGCTTATTCATTTATTTACTCACCAAACTAATATTTATTATTTGTTATGTGACAGGTACCTAGGTTGGTTCCGGGAATTTGAAGAGTAATAAGTTACCACCCCTGCCTTCAAGGTGTTTCAGTCTAGCAGGGAGAATGATATTTAAACCAGTAATTAAGCTTGATAGGGTAATTATTTTAATGGTGAGCCACAACTCTAAACAGAAGGGGCACAGATGTGGAGGCACGAGCTCATCCTTTTATTGAGCTTTCTAATAAAGAGCAAGATGCTTAACTCTGTTGATCTCCAGCTTCTTCATGGGTAGGAGAGCATCTTCTCACTTGCAGATAGTGCATGTAAAGTGCCCAGAAGAGTGCTGGACGCATAGTGGGCATTCAGCAAATGAGAGAGGGTGGATGAGCCTCAGGAGCTATGCAGGAGTCAAGGGCAGTAGGACTGTAGGAGGGGTCCTGAAGTCCCATGTCAGATATGTAAGAAAGGCCTTCTTGCACATCGCAAGAACACTAGGTACCAGGATTAGCAAGGAGTTGACACTGACTAGTTAATCCCTATTTCCCAGTTTGTCTTCACTAGGTGGAATCTTTCCTTTAAGATGGCAAAGGAAGGCCGGTGTGGTGGCTCACTCCTGTAATCCCTGCTCTTCGGGAGGCTGAGGTGAGTGGATCACTTGATGTCAGGAGTTCGAAACCAGCCTGGCCAACATGGGAAAACCTCGTCTCTACTAAAAATATAAAAATTAGCCAGGTGTGATGGCACATGCCTCTGGTCCAAGCTACTCAGGAGGCTGAGGCAGGACAATCACTTGAACCCAGGAGGTGGAGGTTGCAGTGAGCAGAGATTGTGCTACTGCACTCCAGTCTGCATGACAGAGCCCTGTTCCCCGTACTGGACCCCACTCCCCCCTCACTTGTCCTCTTCAGCCTCTGCCTCCTGCTTTTAGCACCTACCACTCTGACGGCTAGCCAGGGCAGGCCTGGAGGCTGAGATCAGTGATCTGTTGGGACAAGGGCTAGGCCCCACAAAGCCCCACAAAAATTAGCCAGGCATGGTGGCTCGTGCCTTTAGTCCCAGCTGCTCAGGAGGCTGAGGCAGAATAACTTGAATCTGGGAGGCAGAGTTTGCTGTGAGTTGAGATCATGCTACTGCACTCCAGCCAGGGCAACAGAGTAAGACTCTGTCAAAAAAAAAAAAAAAAGGGAAAAGACTGAATTTTTTCCTTTTTTAAGGATAGCGCAGGTGAGAAGCCCATTGCTATTTTTATTGCACCAATTTCTGACACTTAAATGTCTTCCACATGAGTCACCTATTGGCACCCAGCTCCTTGTTTACGTGAAGAATCCGGTGCCTCCACTAACCTCCTTCCCTTCTAGGCCTTCCATATATTTTCTGGTTGCCCTTCTATCAACTCTGTGTTTTACTATATTTCAGAAGCATTATGTTTTGAATTCATATATTATATTATATATATAGAGAAATTAAATAGAATATTTGATCACTGTTGCCAATTGTGAATGCAAAGTGGCTAGCATTGGGTAATATTTATTGAGCTGTTATTATCAGGCACCACACATTCTATGCATTGTATCCGTGCTTCTCAGCTTTTGGTGGAAATACATGTGATATGGAGATGCTAAAATTCAGGTTCTGGTTCATTCAGTTTGGGAGTACAGGCCAGACGACAGGCTCAAGGGTGATACTGCTGTCCACAGGCTGCATTTTGAATAGCAAGACATTGTACCATTTGATTCTGACAACAGCCCTATTAGTTAGAAATTATTTCTTGTTTCATATCTATGGAAACTGAAGTGTAGAGAATTTATCCAAGGTCATGTTGCTAGAAAGCAGTAGAGCTTGGGCTCTAAATCCAGATTTGCCTCCTGGGATAGTGTATATTATCTGTATTTTGGAAATATTCTCCAACATCCAAGGGTGACTTGATGCTACCTGAAACAAAATTCATAGTTTTAGTTTTAATTTCATCGCTTTTAAGGATTTTTTTTTTCTAATCTCTTTTTATGAAGGACTTTGTATTAAATGGTGATTCAGATGTGTTGGATTTTGCTTCTAAAGATACGCGGAGTTTAGTATAATTTACTTGCCAAAATTATGGCCTAGGAAACATCGTGCTATTGATGGAATCCACACTGAACACAAGAGGAAATTGCGTTGTGAGGAAAGGAAATCCTCAGGCTGATTTATTGTTCAGCGCTGAGTGTACACAGTGTGCTATCCTTGTCATAGCCAAGCGAAAAAGGACGCAGTCCCCGTCCTGAACAGATCATTCTTTTAAAAATAGTATTTTGGACTGCTTATAAAATATGGTAATAAAAAATTTGGGGTCCAGATATCTAATACAGTATCGAAAATCCCATCAAACTGGAGTCTTTCTATTTTCAAATTTTAAATGAATGCATCTCAAAAGGGTAACGAAGGATCACATTTATATCAAACAGCAAGACTTCAATGTGGCAATATCTTGCCATGAATAATTTAAACGTTAATTGTTGTTTTGGGGGGCAGTGTGCAGTGGGAGTGAAAGGGGTGGAGTTTAGAGTCCCCAAAGGATTTACTTAACAAACACGGACGCACTGCTTGTGCACTGTGCAAAGTTCTGGGGGAAAGTTCCAACTTTCACTAAGGATCCCAGAATGGGCCGGCAGTAGCTGCCCAGGGCCACCGCGCTTTGCTTTCAAACCCGGCCGCCCGCCGCCGGCGCATGCGCAGTCCAGCACCGTGGCACAGGCCTTTCTCAGGCAGGTTTTTGTGGGGTCAGCAAAAGGGTCAGAACTGCCACCACCAACAGTTCCGAGCCTGACCGGGAAGGGGAAACAAACTCCAAGTGAAAATCACCTCGGGAGGAAACAGGCTCCGAGATGGGGCGGGTTCAGCAGGGGTCTCCACACACGCACTCTCGCTTGCTTTCAGGGTGCCCAAACACCTCTAGGGGCAACTAGGAGGAACAGGCTGAGGAATCAGCTGTGGAGAATGGAGGGGATCGAACTGGAAGGCGCGCGGGGGCGATGATCTCTAAAACTTTCGGCGCCGTGCTCTACGGATGGTCTGGGCACTTTTCTCATTTCTCTAGGGAGTCCGGGTGCCCCAATTAATCCGTCGCTCCTACGAGCATTTGCTTTTTAGGGGGCCCTGGGGCAGCCCCTCGTATTACACTATTCAGCCACACTCCCCGCAAAGCAGAGAACCCGCCCCGAGAGAAGACCCCAGGATGCCGGGGGCTGCGTGAGTCTGCGGGCGGGGGCGCGGGATCCCCTTTGTGGCCGCCGCCCCCTCCGCCGGCCCCTCCCCCGCGCCCCGCCCTCGGCCACCGACCCCAGCCCCGGCCGCTGGCGCGCTCCCACCCGCGCCTCTGGGGACTCGCGGACGGCAGCGAGACCGGCCGGCGCGCTGGGCATGCTCAGTGGCGGGCCGGGCGCTGGAGTCGGAAGCCGGTGCGCGGCCGCAGCCGCCGAGCCGGCCGGGGCGCACGGAGAGCGCGCGGGACTCGCTGCAGCTGCGGCCCGATCGCGGCGCACCCGGGCCGGGACCTGAGCCGAGCCCCGCGCTGCACCCGCCACCCGCCGGCCGCGGCGCCTGCTCCCCCGATCCCGCTCGGGGAAGGGGCCGACGGCGGCTGGCGTCGGCGGGGCGCGGAGGAGCCGCGGCGGCCGCATCCTCACCGCCCGCCCCGGCCCGGCCGCGTCCCAGAGCCGTCGGGCATGGAGCCGTGGAAGCAGTGCGCGCAGTGGCTCATCCATTGCAAGGTGCTGCCCGCCAACCACCGGGTGACCTGGGACTCGGCGCAGGTGTTCGACCTGGCGCAGACCCTCCGCGATGGAGTCCTGCTCTGCCAGCTGCTTAACAACCTCCGGGCGCACTCCATCAACCTGAAGGAGATCAACCTGAGGCCGCAGATGTCCCAGGTGAGGAGGCCGGCGCGGGCGCCCCGCCTCCAGCCGGCAGCTCCCATTAATCTTGCGGCTAATTTCTTTGTGTAAATGCAAACGTCTAGGTGCGCTGAGCTTGCCCTGCTTCCCAGCCTTCTGCTCTGGGACCACTTCGGCACCACTTCGGCTTTTCCTACCTTGGCTTGAAATGGCTTATCGCCTCAAGCTGAATGCAAAAGCCTTGCGTCCGGAGATGGTGTGAGGATTTCATAAAGGCTTTCTGTGAGGCGGGAAAGAAATAAGTTGTCTTAGGGTGCCCTTCACCTACTCTGCGTGTGCGTGTGGCGCGACAAAGGGAATTTGATCAAGCTCTTCCGTAAAAACGAAGGGGAGGGACGAAACGAGGTGATGGGGTAATTTGCCTTTAGTCTCTTTTGCTTTGCGTCTTGTTCTCATGTTTTCTTGAAAGAGGAACCATGACATAAATGAGGACTCGAGGAAGTGGAGGGCGTTCGGTCCCGTTATCTGTCCAGGAGTGACAGTGGTCGAAAGGAAGAACCGGGAGCAGAACCCAGGGGCTGCCCCAAGGGGCCCTGAGCTGGTGGCTGGCCAGCAAGCTCCATGGCTATGTTTACAGCTCTTCCTAAACCATGTGAGAAGGAGCGAGTCCAACCTCTCTGAGCAGAGACAGGAAATGAGAAGTTTCACTAGAGATTCTGCTTTCCTTCCTGCAGTGCCCGGCTCAGGTGCTGTGGTGCTGATCGGCTCCCGGGGCTGGAGCTGCCTCTTTGAGGTTGAAGCCAGGCACGCACCTCTGGAAGCTTGGGTGCACCCTAGAGTCAGCTCAAAAGTCACACGCAATTCAGTGGAAGAGTAGTTTATTTATCCTGTCGGAAAATTTTTGTACAGAAGGATGTTAAACTCGGTTCAGAGTCTCTTTCAGAATGTTAAAAAACAACACAAAAACCAAACCGCTTTCAACTTAGAAAGGAGAGGACAGAGCCCTCTCCATGACACATTTCAGCACTAATCCTCTATGACGCAGAGCCTCAGCTACTTAGCAACCAGAGCAGTGCCTTTCAAGAAGAAATGGGCTTTATATGATTTAACAAATATGTATTTAAAGTTAGATGACACAGTCATCTCTGATTCTTGGTGTCAGTATTTCACCAGGGTCCCCTGCACTTCAAAGTCTACATTCCTTGCCTGTCTGCCTTCAACCTGCTGGTGGGCAGTCCCCAAGAAAGAACAGGCATGGAAATGGGGAGAGCCATATGTATTTAAAAGTGAGATAAATTATTTAATATCCCCATAAATCTGCATGGTGATTGCTACCTCTAGGTACCCCTTCAGAGTTGTCTCAATTCTGGATATCCCTTTGAGGGGTTTAGCAAACTTTTCTATTCTGGTGGGAGCTGTAGTCAGTTACCTACTCTCACACATCCTCATTTTCCACTTTGCCTGTAGCCTCAGGAGGCAGTGTGGGTCAGGATGCCTTGGCCACCAGTAGGGAGTACAGTACTGTGCATGTTTCCTGGAACTTGTTTCCTGGAACTCTCAGCAGTTGTTCTCAATAATCACATTTTCTGGACAGCTGAAGAGCTGTTTTTTCTTTTCTTTTCTTTTTTTTTTTTTTTACCCTGAAGCCTTTATTTGAATGCTAACAATGGGTGAAAATCGTTTTGAATGTATTTTGCTCTTCTCTTACAATATGTTAGATGTAATTTAATCTTTCTGATGACCAAAAATTATTATAAGCATCTTTAATGAAAATTGAGCACATTCAATGCTCTAAGGGTTCTGTTCCCTACTGGGGGTACCACAATGAGCAAACCAGAATACTTGCAGTAAAGGAATGATTACACTGTGCTATCAGTTGATAAATCACTGGGTTATAATAAGGTAAGTAGGACAGCTAATGACCTTCTTTGTGCCGTTGCACTTTTGAGTTCTTAAGTCTGCCCAACCTTGAGTTTTCTGGTTCCAAATTAAGTACAGTTTCTCCTGTGATGTCCTGTGAATGGGTGCTTCTCTCAGATGTGAATTCTAGAAGGCTAGTACCTGAATATGGTGATGTCTGTTTTTGCTTTCCTCTTGGTTCTTGGCCTCATTGCAGAGGGGTAAGGCTGCTGAACAAGTGGGTGCTAGGCAGATGAGTTTGTATCATGCAGGTTGTTATTGAATCCCTAAATGAGACTTATGAAATGATTTTATGAAACAACTTGACATATTTAACATACTTAGAGTGCCTAGCTTCACATGTACTTAATATGTCCTTAATAAATGTTCACTATTAGCAAAATTATGTAAAACATTTTTTCTGCTATTGTTACATTAAGAGTAATAGGTTCCAATAGAAATTTTAGAAGAACTGTAGAGACCTACCCGTTCCTTTGGGCTAATATCCCTAAGCATTTTACCTCTAACTAATATCACTCTTGGGAAAGTTTCTAGCTGTAGTGAATAACCTGGTACACCCTATCATGTCCCAGCAGAATTTATTCCCCTGGAGTTAGAGACGTCATTACTATTACCTGTGACTTTTTGGTATGTCTGAGAGTCGTTCTGTCTACCCAACTTAGGTTCTGTTGATATTAATTTGAAATAGACTTTTTAAAATATAGCACATGATCTCCTAAGCTAAGAAATAACTAGAAGGTGTCACTTCAGAGTTTTGTGTCATATTGAGACTCTAAGGAGCAGATATTGACAAAGCAAATTTTAATTTATTGATGTTTTGCTTGTAGCCTGTTTAGTTTTCCTGAAATAGGCTATAAAATGAGCAGCCTTTTACAATTTTTAAATGAGTGTTTATTCCAGTGAGTGGGATGCTTTTCCATTCTCTGTTAGCCTTCTGCCTTGTTTGCATTAAAAAAATAAATAACTGCAAATAATGACTGCTCAATTATAGGTTTGAATCTTGGAATCTTAATAAGTTAGTTGATTATCTTTCAAATTAAAAGCATGGATGGGATCCCAGTTCTCTTACTTATTGTTCTTTCTGACTGTGAACATAAGTTTGTTTTTGATCTTGCCATCTTGGTAAGAGGATGATCTTCAGTTCAAAAATGAGTATATTTTTTCATGCTGATTTAGCTTTTGTTTTTATTTATGATGGATTAAAGAGGTAAACTTAATCACATTTAGTTATACATTTAACATGTTCCTCTTATTATAAAGAATACAGTTAATAAAATGCCATTGGTAAATGGATATCTAAGAAATTTGGTGTCTATATATTTTAGATATTAGTGTCTGTATCTGAGATTTATTTTTCATCCAAAACAGTATTCTAGCCAGGAAGAGGGGAGCCTACTGGTAATAGCTGTACTAGGTGTGCAGCATATGCTAGGGTTGGGGTTGGGGGTGTGCCTGTGGGAAGGGCATGAGTTATTGGCTTGATGCTATTTTTAGTGTTTAAGAAGATCTTCATGAATGCCTATAACCACCCCTAGATCTATCATGAATTAGAGTCCCTTAGTCTTAATTTTAAACTTAAAATTTTGCTTTATACTATGCTTTAGAGTAGAGGTAATACATTCGATGAATTTACTGGCCACTATGAACCGTACATGTAAACTTTTAATTGTCTAAATGAATAATTCAGACTTGAAGGATTTCTTCAATGACTATTTACTGGTTCCTACTATGTTCCAGGCACTGTTTCAGACACTGTCTTGGACAAACTCAACAAAGTCCCTGCCCTAAAGGGTTTTGGATTTTAGAGGAGCTGAGCTATACATAAATGACTATATATTATAATGTGCTATGAACCCATTTGAAGCTGAGTTGGGAACTAGAGAGAAATGTAATGCAATTTTATAGAAGGTAGTCGAGAAAGTCCTCTCTGAGGGAATGACAGTTAGGCAGGGACCTGAAGCGAGTGAGGGAACACAGGAATGTGGATGTTTGGAATAAAGAATATTCCTGGCAGAAGGAATACCAAGTGCAAAGCTCCTGAGGTCATTAAATGGCAGGTATACTGGAGGAACAGCAAGGCCAGCGTGGCTGGAGGGAGAGTGAGTGTGGCAAAGAGTGGTAGGGTTGAAATCAGAAAACGGAAGCTCGAGTTCTAGAACTTGTGGGCTACTTTAAGAACTCTGGATTTCACTTTGAGTGAAATGAGAGGTCAACAGAGGGTTGAGCAGAGGAGTGACATGGCCTGATTTATGATTTTTCTTTTCTTTTCTTTTCTTTTCTTTTCTTTTCTTTTCTTTTCTTTTCTTTCTTTCTCTTTCTTTCTTTCTTTCTTTCTTTCTTTCTTTCTTTCTTTCTTTCTTTCCTTTCTTTTCTTTTTCTTTTCTTTCTTTCTTTCTTTCTTTTTTTTTTTTTTGATACAGAGTCTTACTCTGTAGCCCAAGCTGAAGCGCCCTGACATGATCTTAGCTCACTGCAGCCTCCGCCCCCTGGGCTCAAGCGGTTCTCCTTCCTGAGCCTCCCGAGTAGCTGGGACTACAGGCACGCGCCACTACCGCCAGCTAATTTTTTTTTTTTGTGTTTAGTATGTGTTTCTCATGGCGAAAGGCCACGGGCTTTCACCATGTGGCCCAGGGCGGTCTCCAACTCCTGAGCTCAGGCCATCCGCCCGCCTCGGCCTCCCACAGTGTTGGGATTACTGCTGTGAGCTGCCCCGCCCATCCCTGATTCATCGTTCCTACAGTTACTCTGGCTACCATATTGAGAACAGACTGGAGGGCAGCAAGGATGAAGATGCCCAGGCAAGAGATGATGGCGGCTCCTCTTACCAGCATAATAGCAAGGCAGATAGTGGGAAGAGTAGGCTCAGAATATATTCTGAAGGTAGAGCCAGCAGGGGTTTATTGATGGACTCAGATTAGGGGATATGAGCAGAGAGGAGTCAAGTATGTCTCCAGAAGTTTTGACCTGAGAAACTAGTTGATGATGTTCCCTTTTATTGAGATGGAGAAGACAAGAGGAAGTATGGTGTTGAGGTGTATGTGGGGAGAGGGGAAGACGTATCAGGAGCTAGTTGTGATTGAAGTGCCTGGTAGACATCTAGAAGGGTACGCTAAGCAAGTTGGGGGAGTTGGAAATGTAGGTATAAACTTTGGAGTTATAGTATTTAAAATGATGAGACTGGATGATATCACTCAGGGACTACTGAAGAAAGAGGAAAAAGTCTGAACGAGCCGTTGGGGCCTGCCTGTTCATGAGGATGGAGAGACGGGAGGGAACCTGTGAGGGAGTTAAGAGGCAATGGCCGCAAGGTAGGAGGGAAACCAGTAGAGTGGTTCCAGGAAACCAAGTGGAACAGTATTTC